TCAACAAGATCGAATGCTTTGCTCGTGTCAAAAAATAGACCCCAAAAGTTTGCTGTTTTTTATCAAACATTTCTAGGCGTGTTTAATAAGCTGATCAATTGCAGTCATAGTAGATTTATTTCTTCTATAACCATTCTGACAGGATGAAAATAATCTGAAAGTTTCGAAATAATTATAGGTATAAACGTTGATAAAAACAATATTCAATAATCTAGGTAATAAGCTGATCCATTGCAGTCATATTAGATTTATTTTTTCAATAACCATTCTGACAGGATGAAAATAATCTGAAAGTTTCAAAATAATTACATGAACGGTGATAAAAACAATATTCAATAATCTTCGAAAACTGATTAAGAAGGGAGATAGGCCTATAAGAGGAACAATCTGTGCGAGAACCTTTGTTTTTGTAAATTGTTAGTTTTGACAATTTTAGGATATCTGGAAAACTCCCTTCGATGAACGTAGAGTTCAAAATATAACTCGAAGGTCCAGAAATTAAATGAGCAACCTTTCTAATTATATGTCCCGGAATTTCGTCCATACTCGAAGATTTTTAATAACCATCTTCCATTTTCTAATTTAGTAGTTGGATATAGATAAATGCTTTGAAGGGAAGGTGAAATATAAATTATATTATAAGTAGAAGATTTGGATCGGCTACTGCTTACAGTTGAGAAGTAATCACCGAAAAAGTGGCTAATAGTCACTGAACTATACAGAGGGCTATATGGAATATGTTCTTTATCTTTATTCATAATGCAATTACTGTTCTCAACTATTTCCAGACTTAGATATATGCATCTAACTATTCAACATCATAAGCTTGTTTGATTTATTCAAGGTTATCAATGAGTATGATGATTCTGATTTGACATATGTTCAACTCAACTGTGCGAGGTGCTATTTGAACCTTGTTTATTTGGGTCGCCTGATTTGGCCTATATATGTTCAGCCTCAATCATTACAACAAATTTCGTATATTTCTTACTATTCAGATTGTCTACGAATAAGTATATTTAATTCGATATCATCACAATTGACACCAGTCACATTATAAACAACAACTCAAATTCAAACCAAATAACTTTTGTATTGAATTTGTTTTTATCTTCAATAGGAGAAGGTATGGACCACTGTGACCACACTCTATCTCTATTCTCCGAATAATATGAACAAATTTCAATTCCATTCTTGAAGCGCAATCAGTTTTTTGAAGGATCAAATCTTCCTCTAGTGAACCAATAATAAGAGGTTGTTATTTGAAGACAATAAAGGCGTATACAGAGGGTTTCCTAGAAAAATAAATTATTGATGGGTTCATATTTCAACTTATAGACATTGTGTGGTAGGTATTCATTATAAGTTAACAGGAAATTGGCGATGCTGTTTCTATGAGTTTCGAGATTACAGCCAATAACTGGACCGATTTATCAATATTGCTGTTGTAAATGAACTAATTAATTTATGAACTGACCGTTCACTATAAAATAATTCAAATTATCTGTCATTAACAGTACAGAACCTCACTTAGCGAACACGAACAAACAAGCTATTAAGGCTTCTCGTTGAATTATTACACGTAATCGTAATATATCAATGTATAGCCGCAAATAGTAGTAATAAAAGATTGAAAAATGACTTGCGGTTACCTACCTTTATTGTAACAGCTATACGATTAGAAGTTTTTTGGTGCATTGCATCAATCCAGTACTTATCATTGTGAAAACATGTAATGGAGTACATAATGACGGTACAAAATACATCATAACCTATAATTCAGGAAGACAAAAACTAGAGGTATATAGAAATATATTTTCTATGACTATAGACACACTATACTATGATCATGAATCGTCAGTATTCTCAATTTCATTAGAGTTTTCATAATAGTTGTGTCAATTCTGTCCACAGTATATTCACAAGAAATACCAAGCGGAAGAATATAGTAGATGATATTTTTGTGTTATGTATAATTGTATGATTCATGAAATTCAGTGCCAATATTCACTCACGAAGTTTTGCATTTTCCGTCATGAGTGATTCATGAAAATGTCATTTATATAACACTTTATAGATATAGCACAATTTTTGACCGCTATGATGAACTAAAACACGCAGTTTTCCAAATATAATGTTAATGAATATTATGTACCTACTACAAAACATTGATAGTTGAGTATTCATAAAGGTGTTATACTAGGTTGTACATATACAGTGTGTCTCACATGGAACCGCCTACATGTCGGGAAAACCATATTGATAGACAAGATAGGTTAGAATCACTACGGATTCGAGAACAGAAAACTGAACGTCCAATTCACTTACTACTCATTTTCTTCCTGAGGGAATGTCAGTTCTGAAATAATAAATTCGGTCTCACTTATCACGAAAGCACCTCAGTATCTTACGTAATTATTGATGTAGGAGTCTGAAACCGAAATGTTCAGGAACAGGAAATGATACACTGCTCACCAAAAGGTACAGAACCACTGACATTCCAGGTGGAAAAATTCATTAAATCGGAAATGCACTTGATGGTTGCTCTGAGAATCATAGAGTCAGTTCTCATCAGGGATAATGAAATTACGATTTGAACTAGTACAATCGAATAGATTATCAGAAATGATCCAATTATGGATGAATGAATTTGTTAAAAGGAAAATCGTTACCTATAATAGTGCGTCAAAATATGGGAAGTTGGTGAATTGTATGTCCTGTTTTGGAATCCGAAGTGATTTCCAACCTATTTCGACTCCTAATATCATTTTCTAGGAATTGTGGTGGTTCCATGGCTGGTGGCGAATATTGTATATCACTGGAGATGACCCCACTCGGCAATAGATTACATTTCTCGTTCCAGCAGATTTCAGGATTCTTACCCAACGATTACGTGAGATATACACGGGGGTGTTTCCATGAATAGTGAGACAAAAATGAAATATTCAGAACTGGAGAATTTCCAGGGAAAAAAATGAATAGTTAGTGAAGTGGGCGTCCTGATTCCGAATCCGAAGTGATTTTCACCCCGTTGTGACTCCCAATATCATTTTCCGGAAATTGGGGTAGTTCCATGGCTATTGGCGAGCAGTGTAAATCATTGAAGATGATCCCACTTGGTCATAGAGTGCTTTTTGGTATATCAATCGCTTCAGCATATTTCAGGATCAGAATTAGAAGTGAGACACACTGTATATAGTAATCCCGAAGTGATTCTCTCAAGTCGCTTATTTCCCCTGAAATGATAATTATAATTTGACGGTGCTCTTCATGAATGCAATAAAGATTCTTCTTTTTTTCGATTTTGCGAATTGGCTCGTTTTCTGCTGACTTGAAGCTTCTTTATTGGCTTCTGAATTTGGTGACAGGGATTCGAACAATCCAGCTGGCTAACCATGTCTCATTAAGAAAATGGGCATTGTTCAAAACTGCCGAAACATTTTAAGAGACTTGTGGTTTTTGTTAATACGCGGATATAACATATCACTTTAATTAAAAGGAATGTCCTGTTCGGAATTTCGTAAGAGGATCTACAGTTCACAAAAAAATCTGCGAAAGAAAGTTGTATCCAAAGTTTTCATATTCTTGTGAAGAACAAATACTTACCATTACCAATAGGCGCGTCATCAGTCATTGTATAATATTCATAATTCATCTCTTCATAGAACTTCAATCATCTTCTATAGTGAAGAATTTCGCTGTTTCATAAAATTATGTTGTGAAAGACATGAAATCGGTAATGTCGAGTAAAGTTTCACACGATCATCAACGGCAACTCATCATAATTCTACAAATTATTGAATGATGTCTCTTCAGGCAATCCGTGTCTCTTAAAACATTATTTTCTTTGAAGGATTGTGAATTGCTGCCATAACGTCATGAATTAGGTTAATTCGCTTATTTATCAGCTGTTGAAGCTAACCTTTCTAAATTCTATCTAACAATCAGAAACAACCCATTTTTCAGTGGAGTGATGACGAATGAAGATGTCATGGTGGTAGTGGTCGAATCCACCAAAACATACTATACCGGGTAGTCCAAACGAAATCGTTCCACCCAAGTTCTCTACGTTGTGATGCAATTAATGAAAAATTTTCTCGGCGGGGAAAACATAATCCAAAGTTGATACCTTGAAGCGGAATCAAATTTCGATTTTCAACTTACAAATCCAACAATATCAAGTTTGCTCGAGTTGATTTTTAACACTCTTTTATCAGCTTCACCTGTATATATGTATGCATTTTCACCCTCTTTAAACTGACCGATTGATTTGAGATTTGGCAGGTGTACATAGTTGGGGTGGCAAAGCATAATGCAATTTTTGTTAGACAAATAAACAAAATTTCAGCACCAAAATGGCGGACGAGTTTCGTACTTATAATCCGATTCTATTCAAACTTGGTTTCGGGAGGTTTTTGGAGCCGGAGATTATGATTCTTTCGTCGAAATTTGGAAATTCAAGATGGCGGATCCAATATCATGGACGAGTTTTGTAATTATGATCCGTTTCTATTCAAAATCGGTATTTAGTGGTTTTCGAGGTCGGATGTCTTTCGGCCTCCTAATGTTGCGATTCCACTAGCTGATTGGGGCACAGGGCCCCTGTTTATAAAACATGTTTCAATACAAAGAACGTATTTTCTCTGTTTCAAATTTTCATGAAATGATTTTGTGACTTCATGTGATTCCAAAATTTGTTTCTTCTTCCTCAATGAGCAGTTCATTGTACCAGTATATCACCTGACGAAGCGACATTTTTTGACAATCTATTCCTGATTCGTTCTTAATACAAATGTATTGAAAAAGAAACAATACATAAATATTGTTGTTCTTGAAGCAGAAGCACCTCAATAATTTTTGCTAGCTATCTTTTAAATAAGAGAGCTCTAATTTTCGGCTCCCTGTCTTTAAAAATTCGTCCAATAGTTCCTGATGGTATATTAGATAATATTGAAATGACTCGACGACTACATTCTCACAATTTTTTTGGTGGTGCTGAATCATAGCCCCCCCAAGCCTCCTCCTACCTGCGCCACTGGCCCACTGGGTTGAAACGTCGTGTGTTTCAATAACCATTTCACATTCAACTGATTGATGAAATAACTGATGGACAACCAAACACACAAAATCCTTACCTTATTTTGAAACAGCCTCCTGAAAGTATCCCTGGTATATCTCGCCTCCTTGTGTACGATAACGCTGCACTGCCTCAGCTGCGCCAATCGTAATCTCTCCCTCAGATTCTCCTCCTCCATGCTTGACATCGGAACCAAAGACTTGCGACGCTGAGCCAGACGCTCATCAGCGCTCGACGCTTTGCTACTAACCGTCGCGACGCTGGATTCGGTTCCCGCAAACCCATTGTTTACGCTATCCGAATTCCTCTGTTTGGCGAGTCTAGCGGCCGAACTGGAATTCCGTCGGGGTGCCACAGGGGTACGCTGTGGGGCCTCTGTCTTTGCCGCGTTTACGCTAGCGTCAGAAGCTTTATCGCTCGAGTCTCTTCTTATGACTACTGGGGTGGATTCCCGCGATTCTTCGGGGATGGTGGGTACACTGGTACCCACTAGGGGTAGGTCCATGAACATGTTTGGGACGATAGTTGATTGCTATTTTCGTCGGTCGTGCATTTGATATTGTCCCTTAAATTGATGGAGACGACTGAGAAATATCAAACTGGTAAAAGTAGTTCCATATCTTTAGATTTGATGAATTTTAGGAGAATGTTTTGTGAATTCCGACAAAGTTTCGGTTTTTTAGTGTGACTCATTATTGTTTTCAATGGCAATTTTATTGACATTCACTCACTGTACAGAAAATATCTCATAGTAGTTCAAGACTGTTTTCAAGTAGTCGTACCCACTTGTTGAGAACTGAAATTTGGCATTGATGTTTTGGAATATTATTGTTGTATTCAATTAAATGGTACTACTAGTGTTTGGGTTTGGTTATATTTATTATTCAACAATGAATAAATCAAACAAAACATTTGAAGGCGTGTTTATTAAGCAATATTAAGATCACCTTCAGGTGGAAAGTGGAGTGATCCATATTAGAAAGTTTTGGGACTGTCGAAATATTGAATAATTATCTTCACAAGTTTACAATGAATGATAAACTTAAAACAAAATAGGTAAACTCTTCCATTTTTGTGTCTCCTGATTCACTGATGATTATAAATGATGGTGAGATTACATCATTTCGATCTTAAAACCGATTGACCAAAAAAGTATGGTTGTTTTGTTCGTTTGGGGAGAATGAAAAAATATCAGTCCTTATCAATATTTCTCAAAAAAAAAAAAATGGTTTTTGAGATGCAGGCGTTACTAAACTCTTCAAAATATCAATATTTTTCTTAAATCCAGAGATCAGTTCGATTCGGAGTTGAATATTGAACTGATCATGTGCTTATTATATAACTATAGCATCAAATTTGACTTTGCTTTGTAGAGAATGTGATTTTTCGAGATTGTATAGGGTGAAAACAACGCCAATATTTTTCGAAAGATGCATTCGGAAAATCTTGAACTAGAGGTTATTTCGAAGATGGTGGAATGTTGGAAAAATCATATGAAATTTGTATATTTTTCCAAAATTTCTATACATCTCATGACTCATAATTTTTTCGCAGAAACTTGCTTTTGCAGTTGGACGAGTCCACATTCAGCATCCTTAACTTCTAGACCCTGTATCACAATAATTTCCAATATACAGAGTGTAAAGTGTAAATGAAGTACGAAACCATTTTGAGAGGTGATTGCTTATTGAATATCAAAGAGGTTTTTTGTTGAGATGACTCCTTAGAGGCTTCAAGAAATTATTTAGTACCAATTTATTTGCTTGGATATGAAATAGGTGAGTGACAAAAATATCATTAGGGAGACTCCGCTTTCTATCGAGAAGGCTTTAGTGTTAGTGAATAATCATTAACAACTCGTTTGGCACCCCCTTGAAGAGGTTGTAGCTAAACAGAAGAATAACATACAGCGCTGAATACTGAAATAATAATTTTTTTGAAATTATTTCCAGAGGGAAAAAAATAAAAGGAATTAGAAAATTACTAAGTGTTGCCGTGTCACTTTTCCATCAATCTAAAGAATAATTCCAGTCCACTAGGTCACTATGAGACACCACTCGACAGATCTGAGCATGCGCGGTACGAAAAACTAGCATGAGAAAAAACTAGAGTCGGGTCGCGCAATCCGAAGAGCTCTTCAGGTCTCAATACACGGCGCACTGCTCCGATCGCCACCGTCATCATGGGAGGCTGGTCCTCCACGCCGTTCACTTGTTTTCCACCGGGGGTGGGATGGCCGCACCACCGCCAGTCAGTTGTTTGTGGTGACGCAAGAGGTGATTTGTGAGTTCTCAAGGTGCTCGACTCGTCTCTAGTGACAGCGAGGCCGTCGATCACAAGGTTTGTTGTAGAAAAATTGGTAACGAATTTCATGAGTCGTTATTTTTTTTCGAAAATTTCATACCTACCATTTTCGACCAACTAAAAGCCTGTATTTTGTATCTTTACCATAGAAAATTGAGAAATTTCTGGCAAGCCGTTTAACATGTGGATTCTTTTTGTGATTTTTTTTTCTAAGAGCACTATTAGAAGTTCACCTTTCAACACCATGAAGATTCATTTATTGAAAATGTTATTTTGAGATACTATAGTGTTAATAGTAACTATCACTTCTAACAATAGTGTTGAGAATAAAAATAGAAAGTTTTTATTTCATAGAGTACCATCGCATCAATTGGGCAAGAGTAAAAATATAAAAATTATTACTTTCTGAATATATGCTTGATTTTCAATACTAAGAATGATATACAGTGTCATCCATAAAGTCTATTTTTATGTATGTCTAAAAAAACATATTGAAAAAGATATCCACTGATGAGAGGAACTAGAAAAAATCCTACCATTGTATAAATACAATGAACCTACTTATACAGAGTGTCATTCATTACTCGATTCATTACAAAGTCTGCGTAACATACGCAGGGAAAAAGTTTATCATATAGTACCCACATTTTTTTCTAGGAGATCTATTATGCATTTTCACTAAGTGGAGTGAGATGACAATGTATCGAAACAAGTTATTCGAAGAAAGTTACTTAGAATTAGATTTCATCTTCGCACAAAACAAATTATAAAAAAAATTGAAAAAAGCTTTGTTATCAGATGTTCTTCGAATATTTTTCGATCCCGCTACAATTTTTTGTCAACTGTATGAGTGGACTATAGTGATACACTCGTATTTCTATGGGAATAAGAGAACGATCTCGTTTTCTTCAGATCAGATTGTGAAAATAATTTAAATATTCCCAATGTAGTGAAGCCTTAAATTTATTTGCGTAGTAAAACGTTTATTCGCGATTATCAGTAGAAGTTGATGATTATGAGAAAAATACGATATTTTCTGAGTGCTATAACATCAAAATAGTATGGCTACAATCCGATATTTCTTAAATGTAAAACAGCGCGCGGGTGCTGGCCAGAAAAAAACAATTTCATACTATCTGGGTGTGAAGAAAACGAGGTTTTTTTCTCATTATCTTTGAGATACAAGTGTTTCACTACTGTCAATCTTTTCAGGAATAAAAATTATATAATTGTAACAACATCGAGAAATATTCCAAAAAAAATATATTTCCAAATTTCTCGAATAATTTATTCAAAATTTGTAGCAGTACATTCTCAGAACTTTTATTGCTTGAAACTCAGTATTTTAGTATGAACTTGACTTTATATATCATTCTATTCAATTTATCGCCATACCAGTGATCATGTGACATGTGTCAAAATCTATTTTTAGTTCATTGAACATGCATGATGAATCCTCGATAAATAGTTATTTATTTTACCAGGAAAAAAAGTTTAAGATTCAATGCCAAGGCTGAGAAACTAACCAAGGCATCGGGGACCTTCTTTTCTGTCATGTCAAACATATATTTTTTTCTACAAATTCGTTTCAATTTCACGCAAAGTCCGAAATAAATATTCCATCATTTTGTGTTCGCCCAAAGTCATAGTCAATTTTCATTCAATTATTAAATGACTAGGCAGTAAAAGTACACCTTTTCTCCCTGTTAAGTGTCATTTGAAAGTCATTTGGAGAAAAACATTGTTTGCTTCAATAACTATAATATGACTGTATTGTTTTCGCTTTTCTTACTTGTAGATGAGACGGAAACAGCAATACCGGAGATCGTAAAAAGTTTTCTTATATTTGTTTTCCAGTAAAATCACAAATTGAAATAATGAACTAATGAAGAGTATACAGGGTAGCATTGAAGTAAGTGCAAATGTTTCTAGCAACGTGGAATCTCCACGTGTACTATCGAATGGCACTAATAAAAAAAATTTTAGGATCAAAATTAAATTTGAGGTTAGACCCTTTTCTCCACCCAAAGTTCTACACTGTAGCAAATCTGACGTCACCTCTGTTCAAATTTCCAGACGGTAGGCACTATCACGCGGAGTTCAATAAGTGGCGTACTTGATTTTTTCTCGTATTTCGTTAAATTTTTGGGATGGAATTTCTCGTTAATTAGAAGAATTTGAAAAAATCTCATATCATGGGAATATTCCTTAGACTGTATCATAATAATGTGCTGAATATGTGCACTTATTTCAAAAACAACTTGTATTTAATAGTTGGAAATGGAATTCCAGACCAATAAGTGTGATCACATGTTATTTATTGTATAATTCATTTGTCTTCCACTTCCTCAGGTTAGCGTGGTAACGACAGCTATACAATGCAAGGAATCAATTTCTTTCATCCATTCTGTCTAGACAGCACACGAATGCCAGTGTTGGTTCATTCATGAACTATGGAACATTTCCATCATATCGAAGTTGACTTTGAACTGAACAATAATGTGTTAAAATTGATTATCAGAAAAAAACAATCATTAGAAAGTAAGTCATGAAGTTTGGAGCACAATTAATGTGATAATGTATACTCACATGCTGATTGTTTTTTTTTTCAATTGGTAAGTATTTGAATGTCTGCTATTGTGACCAAGATAAGGTTGCGCACAGCATAATCATAATATGGATCTCAGAGAAGGTAGCTATAGTCCTGTATCGTATAGGATACGAATTCGCTTAAATTGGAAAAAAGTTGAACATTTAGAGGGCCATCCAGTCAATTACAGTTTTTCGTTTTTCAGTCATATAGAAAATTATGAATTTTTTTAAATTCTATTTCATTATTTTTTCTGCGTTATTATTATTATTATTAAATCAATCATCTTGTCTGTATTCAATTATGCCGATGTTCTTTATGGCCCGAAGGTACATACATACATTCTACCAAAAAAAATTCAAAATTGCAAAATTCGTGTTCACGATTGATTTATGGAATATGTAGAGTACAAAGAACATCACATAAACTTCGGGAAATCGGTTGCATACATATGGAAAATAGAAGAAACATCACGCATTGTGTCTATTCCAGAAAATAACATATCGCTCTGATGTACACAATTTGAATATCAGACGTAAAGGAATGCTCAGAATAACTACATTCAGAACAGAACTATATAGACGGTCGTTCAAATATCCAATTTTCAGCATGTACAT